GGGGGGCGGGGGGGGCGCAGCTAGTGCAGCCCCCCGCCCCCAGCAGACCAGGCTCCTCGGCGCTACTGGACCTACCCGGCAGCGCCCCAGCTGCTCTGTCCCAGGCGTCCAGATTCAGCTGCCGTTGAAACTGATCAGCGGCTGATTCCAGGAAGTCTGGGGCAGAGAAACTCTGCCTCAGGATTCCTGTAGTCAGCCGCTGGTCAGTTTCAGCAGCGGCTGAATCTGGATGCCAGTTCTGACTTAAGTACGAATTCAACTTAAGAACAAACCTACAGTCCCTATCTTGTACGTAACCCGGGGACTGCCTGTACATCAAAATTCAGAACAAGTGGTCAACGAAGAGCTGTATAAGAATGCTCATTTGCATGACAAAAATATACAACTTAATATTATTGATAATTGGCATGATGATTAATAATAGCATAAATGAAATATTGTACTCACAGACTTTATTTAATGGGACTGCTACTGCTGCATCTTTTCACACATTATTGTGAAGTTCACATTATAATTTGTCAAATCCAGCTTCATGCACGCATCTGTCAATCTTATGGCAAGAAGCTTGGAATGTGGGGGTGCAGGAGTCTGGGAATGTGGGGGTTTTAGGAACTCATGGAAGGCTATTGAGGTATATGATGGGCTCAGGGTTCGTGTGTGGGGAGGAGAGGTGCAGGAGTGTTATGGTAGGAGACTAGAGATGTGTGAGGTGCAGGAGTTTGCGGATGTGCATATGAGGGGCTCAGGGCAGGGGGTTCAGGTATATGATGGGCTCAGGGTTGGGGTGCAGGAGTGTTATGATACTGTGGCCAGATGGGGGCTGGGTCCCACTTGGTGACTTGTTGTCCAGGCTTCATTTTTAAATAAAGGAAAATATTATATCCAACACAAAAGGTTTCAACACCATCTTTATATATGGCATGGATGGGGAACCTTTTTAGGGTCAGAGTTTGGGTGAAAGAGGCAGTTGTGACCCAAGGGACAGGATTGGGGTGCAGATGTAACCTAGGGCAAGGGATTACAGTGCAGGGGTTTGTGAAGTGACCTAGTGCAGAGGTTTACATTGTGACCCAAGGCAAGAGGGGATTGTGATCTCGGGCAGAGGATTGGGATACAGTATGTGGGAGGGGGTATAGACTCAGGAGGGGGCAGAGGGTTTGGGTTATGTTGGGTAGGGGAGTAGGAGTGGGGGGGACAGATTGGGATGCCAGATGCAGGGTCTGACCAGGACACTTATCAGTAATACTTCAGGCCAGTAGCCCAGCATGTTTCTGGGGAGCCTGCCCCCTGCCTCCCCACAAGCTGCATGGCCATGTTCTTAGTGACTAAGAGCCTGAGGGGAGGAGGGATTGGTGCTTTGCGCACTGCCTATTTTAGAAACAGGTAGCTTCCATTGGCCAGAAGCGGCCAACAGGATTGTGCTAGGGACTGGAGCCGTCATAAGGCACCACTCCCCCCTCCCTGCTCACAATTTGTGAAAAACAATGCCCCACAGCCACTTTTCTGCTCAGTGTGCAGGAGCAGGTCAAGCAGGAGAGACTGACTGGGGGTTCCCTGCTGCGTCCACAGACAGATTGTTTTGCCTAGGCCTGCTGTAGCGCCAGCACTTCATGCTGCTAGTGAAGAAACATGTTATTCCCTTACTACAACTTCAGTACCGGGCAAATTAGTCGAAACAATAGTAAAGAATAAAATTGTGAAGCATATAGAAGAACATAATTTGTTGGACAAGAGTCAACATGGTTTCTGTAAAGGGAAATCCTGTCTTACTAATCTGTTAGAGTTCTTTGAAGGGGTTCACAAACATGCGGACAAGGGGGATCCAGTAGATATAGTATACTTGGATTTTCAGAAAGCCTTTGACAAGGTCCCTCACCAAAGGCTCTTGTGTAAATTACATGGCCATGGAATAAGTGGGAAGGTCCTTTCTTGGATTGAGAACTGGTTAAAAGACAGGAAACAAAGGGTAGGAATAAATGGTAAATTTTCCAATTGGAGAGGGGTAACTAGTGGTGTACCCCAAGAGTCAGTCCTGGGACCAATCCTTTTCAACTTATTCATAAATGATCTGGAGAAAGGGGTAAGCAGTGAGGTAGTAAAGTTTACAGAGGATACAAAACTGTTTAGGATAGTCAAGACAGAAGCAGACTGAGGGACTCCAAGAAGATCTCACCAAACTAAGAGACTGGGCAACAAAATGGCAAATGAAATTTAAGGTGGATAAGTGTAAAGTAATGCACATCGGGGAAAAATAACACCAACTATACGTACAGTATGATGGGGGCTAATTTGGCTACGACAAATCAGGAAAGAGATCTTGGAGTTATCATGGACAGTTCTCTGATAACTTCAGTGTGCAGTGGTGGTCAAAAAGGCAAATAGGATGCTAGGGATTATTAGGAAAGGGATAGAAAATAAGACCCAGAATATCTTACTGCCCCTGTATAAAACTATGGTACGCCCACATCTTGAATACTGTGTACAGATGTGGTCTCCTCACCTCAAAAAAGATATTTTGGCCTTGGAAAGGGTTCAGAAAAGGGCAACTAAAATGATTAGGGGTTTGGAACGGGTCCCATATGAGGAGAGGTTAAAGCGACTGGGACTTTTCAGTTTAGAAAAGAGGAGACTGAGGGGGGATATGATAGAGGTCTATAAAATCATGAGTGGTGTGGAGAGGGCTGATAAAGAAAAGTTATTTATTAGTTCCCATAATAGAAGAACTAGAGGACACCAAATGACATTAATGGGGAGCAGGTTTAAAACTAATAAAAGAAAGTTCTTCTTCACACAGTGTGTAGTCAACCTGTGGAACTCCTTGCCAGAGGAGGCTGTGAAGGCTAGGACTATAATAGAGTTTAAAGAGAAGCTAGATAATTTCATGGAGGTTAGGTCCATAAAAGGCTATTAGCCAGGGGATAAAATGGTGTCCTTGGCCTCTGTTTGTCAGAGGCTGGAGAGGGATGGCAGGAGACAAATTGCTTGATCATTGTCTTCGGTCCACCCTCTCTGGGGCACTTGGTGCTGGCCACTAATGGTAGACAGGATACTGGGCTAGATGGACCTTTAGTCTGACCCAGTACGGCCGTTCTTATGTACAAGAGCAAACAATATGAAAAGAAATTTGGCTTGAAAGGGCACATTTTTGTTTGATGTACCAAATTACTTTCCCAGCAGTGGGCACGTCTCACCTTTCTATTTTCCTCTCCACTGGCTCACCTCACTATATCAATTTTACATCTGAACAACTCTGTCTCCACTCTCCTTCCCCCACAAAAATCTCAGATCATCTTGTTTTTCTTTGTATTGATTGTTAGGCTCCACCTTTTTACCACTGCTACCAATCTGGATACCCCATTATTCAGCTTTTCATGCTGTACTTGGTGTGTACAGACTTGAGCTGCTCTGCTATACCATTTAAATGCCATGCTATAGCACTGCTCAACTGGAAGAGCTTGATCCTGAAGTGGAGAACAAGAATGCACCTGGTGGGTTACATCATGCTGAAAACTATTTAAAACAACAGTGGCTCAATTCTTACCCTTCTCTCTGCTTCTGCTACCATCTGTCCCCTTTCTACCCAATCGCAAAGCATTTCTTCTACTCTCCCTTCCCTGCATATAATTCTGCCTTAGGCCCAAGGGGAACACCACTGCATGGAGAACTGAAGCAGGTTCGACAACCCATACAAACAATGCTTCCTCTGCTCTGGAGCCGAGCCTGTACAGGTGAGAAGTCCACTACCCCCACACCAGCACCACAGTCTCTACTCTACTCACACTATTAGATCTGACATGCCTAGTGACCAAAAAGGTATCCATTACTTAAGTCCCACAATCTTTTGTACCTGAAGTATTGTGGGATATGGTGAGTCACAGGATGATTTTTTCAGTCATTTTGCGGTTCAGTCCATTGACCAGAAAAGGTTGAAAACTCCTGCTATCACTTACATTAAAATAAATATTACATTTTCTAGGATCTTGCAGGACTGTTCTACTGACCTAACGTGGCAGCTGGCTGGATCTAATGAGTCTTATTAGTTCCAACTGATAAGTATTACAGTTAAAGCTCTCTGAAAAGCAGAAAGCAGTAGGGGCAATCAAAGGGTCTTGCACGGAGAAATTCTAGAAAGTGGCAAGGTTAGAAGGAGCTTAGGCTAAAGTTTGTGTTTAAGAAAATAAGGAAGAAAGAAGTACATTTTCCACATATCTAGCTTGTGCTTATCACATAAGGAGCAGATTAGCAAGAGCATCTGCTTTTAATATGACATTCAAAATAGCATCTATAAAAAGAAAATTGTTGCACTTTTTCCCCCACTCCTTGCTCTACATGTCAGAGCAGGGGCTCAATTGTTTAGTTCCTCAGAGTTTAGTGCTGCTAACCAAGCTATAGGCTACTAACATTAGGTTACTTTAATAAAACCATCACGCTCAAGGATTAGGGCGTTCTGGTTATCTAAAAATTTCAGTTATCTGAGGCTCCCATCAACCCAGGAAAAACCAATGGACAATAATAGTAAAACTCAAGTTTTTAATATTGCTAGTTTTGATGTGAGGCAGTTGGTCTCACATTTCTATTTTGAGTTAAAGGTGATTAGTACTTCTTAAATAAAAAAGTACTAAGCCAATCAGGGTAAACCAAGCCAGGTCTGTGCACCTGAAGATGAGACAGTATTGTGGTTGGGGGCAATGCCAGTTAAACTTTTCGGGTTAACAGAGTGCCGGATAACAAAGCTTGCACTGTACTTTTATCTTAAGAAAATGTTATTTAATAGAGTAGTTTGAGTCTACTCTGAATATTTCCTTACCTTTCCCCAGCATTGTTGATAGTATTTAGTTCTGCTACATTGTACATAATAGATGGCTCTAATGAAACCTTCTCCATAAACATAGGAGAGGTTGTAATATTCTGAATCTGAGCTTCCAGAAATACTTCGTCTGTCTGAAAAAGCAGAGGACCAAATATATAAAGATGTTACTTGAATTGCAAATGAAGTGTATTATCTTATTGTTTGAAAAATATTAAATCACAAAGTCATTAGTTCATGCCTGCAAATCAAAGCTACAGTATTAATGCAAGAAAAAAAATCTCCATCCCAATATTATTAATGGAAGCAAAAGCGTTAGTTAATTTATTTTGCCAAACAATGGATGTGGGATAGCTGTGCTACATTCTATCACCTATTCTTTTAAAAGGTTTTGATTGATAAAGTCTCAATTTTTTTCCTCAAGTCAGCAGCAACTTAATTTTTGAAGTAACGGAACAAAAGATAGGGAATTGCACTGCACATTTAAGACATGATATGCCAGATTACTGGTGCATCAAGCTAAATACAAGAAAAATAAATATTACAAGAATATTTAAAACAGGTGGCTTATTTACTGAGCTGAAATACAACAGATTAGATATATGCGCTGAGCTTCTAGTATTACTTCAAAGGACAATGAAATGTACTAGTTACAACACAGTCTGGTTTCTTCCCTTCTTCAGCTAGATCATGCAACAGTTCATAGTATATAACTCCATAATTTCATTGGCACTATCGCCAAAATTTCAATGAGAAACATCAGGTCTCCTTTAAGGTTCATATCCAGGAATGGTACATGTAAGAGGTTCTAGAATGGGAACCAGGCTACACACTGTTTCAACTGTGTGAATGCAGATGGAAGTTGCCTGTAACCAAAGAAAGACTGGATTTACCCTTCAGCACAGAAAGCAAGGTACTGGGAGTGTGTAGTATATTATGGCTCCTCTAGAGTCCCATTTAGGATTTCTAAAAATCTTAAGACTAAAATAATTGATAGAATGTCCAGGTTATCACAGACAAAAAGCATTGGGAGAACTGAAAAATTCCTTTCACACTTAGTTAAGGACCAAACCTGCACCAACTAAAGTCAATGGGATTTGTTGCTGATTTCGGTAGGAACTAAACTGTGCCACTGGTTAAGATTAGAGAAATATATATTTTCTCTCCATCTTCATAAGCTTTGTTTGTTTTTCACTGTTCTATTATATGCAAATAAATCTCATTTTATGTTATGCTTATAGAGTCTTGCATGTAAACTGAAGCGGACAAAATGGGATAAACCTATACTGTGATTTACCCTCAAAAGATGTTGTATTAAAAAGCAGAAGCATAGAAAGGGTTTTGAAGACCACCTTTAGCTCCTAAAAATGTAAAAAATGTGAACTGAGTAACAGTAACAGCATACATACAGTAATGAAAGCCCTCCAAATGAACACGTTACAGACTAAGGATGTTAACTAACAGTTAATTGCCTAGTCGATGGAATTTCCATTGACTAACTCAACTAGTCAATAGGAATTCTGCATGCGGCCTGGGGCTAGCTGGGTCCGGGAAGTCCTTGGCACCTGCACAGCTGATCCCCAACTTACTTGTGTGGCGCTGTCCCTTTCAAATGCCGAGGTGGCGTATCAAAGAGACAGTGCTGCACAGCTGATTCCTCTCTCCCCCTTTGCTGTTTCTATTGATAGAGGCAGCAAAGGGGAGGGAGGACATCAACTAGTCGACTGATTATCCAATAAGCATTTGCTAATCCGATAATCGACTAGTCCTCAACATCCCAATTACAGACAGGTCCTACATTTGTGGGAGAAGGTAGAGAGAGATGCAAGTAAAATGCTATCTTAGTAACTAACATTTCTCAATTAATATGATGTGCGTCAATTTAATGGTTAAAACTATCCAAGTATCTCTAAAAGCTTGCTTAAACGGATACTGTTGGAAACCATCTATCTATATCCCATAAATCCATTGCTTAATATCTTCATCTACCCAAATTTCATATCAGTTATTTTTTAAATGCAGCAACCATCAGCAAAAATTTAGAAAAAACTAAATTGAAGGGGATAAGAAAAAAAAGCATAATGAAAAAGCAAGTTAGTTTTATAAAGCCAAGGCTGATTAGTTTTAATAATATGGTTAAACCTTAACCCTTGAAGTAAAATAATACTTTAGAAGTACCATACTAAATCATCAGTGCATGCAATCAAACGTTTGAAAGCATAGTTCTAAAGCAAATTTTGTGCTCTCTCCTCAAACCCACTGTCTCCACCTGCTGCAAATAAGAAAGGCTCTATTACAGATTAAACAATCAGAGACTGTAGATAAATCCAGATATTGGAAGTAGTTGTTTACTATTGTTCTACATTCTCCCAAAAGAGAAAATGTAAAAAGGAACTAAATTCTGTTTCCCCAAACATGAAAGAACCCATTACAAATCTCTTTATCTAGTTGAAAAATAAAATTAAAGAAAATGAGAAATACATATGCCTGCTAAAATTATGGTAAGATTATATATAGTATGATCATCACAGACAAACAGTCTAAACTTTTAGTTTCAACAATGGGTATTAAAGAAAGAGCTAACATTTTAAAAAGATTATATATAGCTGCATATATTAAAAAAGAATGGAACATTGCTTTTCCATTGTGTTTTTAAAATAACCTTAACAAGCACAGAAACAATGAGAAAAGACAATTTTAAAAAGCACACATTTATTAAAAAAATAAATAAAAATTACCACGGAACTGAGGTCACTCTAATGGGAAAATAAAAAAAAAAAAAAGAAAAAGACAGCATTAGAGAAATTAGGGTTAAATGTTAAAGAAAAAGGAGAATAACTAACTTTCAAACAAAATGCATTTCTGCATTTTTTTGTTCCTTCTAAATAAGACAGCATTAGTAAGAGAGAGGAATGTAAATAAAAACAGACACAAACATATGACAATTATATGTAACAAGTAGTATTGTTAAATAGTTAACTAGCATCGTTTGTAATCATGCCTCTTAATTTTTCTGAATGCTGAAATACAAACTCAATATGGGTTGGGTATGGAGTATAACGTTAGTGAGCTACAGATAAGGGTATGGTGGGATAAGCTAACAAAAAAACAAAGATGGCTAGTACTTGGGCAACACTGAATGGGGCAAGTTTATCCCTAATGTAAATCCATACTACTTTTTTCCCCTGAGACAGACAATGACCCTTGTGATCTTTCCAGAAGACTTGAATTGTTCATATATAAGGCCAGGAAAAAAGTGACATATACTAGCAAAATACTGATTGCTTACTGTTAGCAATGGCAAAACTAAGAATAGCAAGGTTCCAGGAAAAGCTTGTTACTACAGACAGGTTCCTCAAGGCTAGTTAAACTTTTTTTTTAAATCCAGTGCAGCACACACTGAGGCAAGAGTATTTTTTTTTCATGTAACTGTAATGTTTGCAGGACCAGGACTCTTTAAACCTTATCCAAAGCTTATAAGAACTTCACTGGGTGCTCATTCAGGCTCTTACATTCCAAGGGATACTGTTTTCCTATTCAATGCTATAGCACGTAAATACTGTTTCCAATCCTGATTTGGACTCTAAGTGCTACTGCAATATAAACAAATCTCTCACATTTGACCTTTTCTTTTGTCTCGATAGGGAACAATGTTTTTTTAATCGAAGAGTGGCAATCCATTCGCTTGAGAGGGAGACTTTATGAATAGACAATATCCAATTTACCTAATTTAGCCCGTTAGTCACCCTTTAAAACCTTTAGTTACTAGACCTTAATATATACACATTATATTTAAATTACCCCATTTGTAGCTTCTTATACTCAAGGATGATTTTCCTTTCTTCACAATGAGAAAGTTTCAGATTTCATCCTTCTAATAACATTGCTATTAACATAAATATTACATGGAACTTTCAACCAAAGAACTGCTTTTGATAGCTCTTCAATTTGTTTTGGCTTTCCAATGATCACAAACATTAGACCCAATCATACTTTAATAAATCAAAGAACAGAATATAGTATAGCAGCCTTGCAAAACAAATACACCAGCTCAAGCACTAATTCTACTTGGCCACCGTTTACATGATTATATGGATGGATAGATAAATAAATAGTGGAATGAGGGGAAAAGGAAGAATTTTCCCTCACATGTTAACATTTTCCCCCCTGCCCCAGGGAAGTGCACTGATAGAATTTTGGAAGGTGCTAATAGTTATTCCATCATACGGTAATTAATTATTTTTGTAGACTCATTTTCAGCAACTGTTAGAGGACCTTAAAAATAACTGGTGCCAGCTAACACATGGTACACAGCAGAAATTGGGAACTTTTTTTTGGGTCAGGGGCTGCTTACCCAAAGAAAAATCCATCAGGGACCACACACAAGAAAGAAGCAAAAAGAAAAAACAAAACAAAAAATAAAAAAGTCCAAACCCTCACTGATGTGGACCACGACTGAAGTAGAAAGACACTCCCCACATTCTCCTCACATGCCAGAGCTTAATGGGGCCCAGGCTAGTAGATTGTGTGTTCCAGCCCCACAGGTGTACAGTAGTACCAGTGTGGGCTCCCCAATGCTGGGGTGGGGGAGGGAAGCCCTAATCCTCATGGGCCAGATCTGGCCCCTGGTCCTTAGGTTCCCACCCTTGCTATAAGAGTGCAGATTTAAGAATTTGTTTACATTTTCCTATTTTTATATTTTGTTATATCTATATTGTAATTCAGAAAAAAGTCTACTCTTTACTGAAGATAATTGTTTTCCATTTTTCACAAGGGTAATTCAGGACAAAAAATATTCCACTTATGGAATTAGAGGACACTTGTGCACAGGAGATCCATGGCTTACGCCTGTGCTTCTTCCAGGAGGAATACTGCTGATGAAGCAATAATACATCCATGATACAAAGCAGAAGCACTTGTGCCCCAGAGAACTGCCTATCATCTTGAGGTTATGTTTTACTAATGGTACAAATATACAGTTAAAATACTCCTGTCACAGAAAATTAAAAGATAAAGAAAGTTTTCTGATACTGTTTAAATACTTCACTCCTAAAGAGCTTCGGTAAAGTAGAAGGACTCAGTCTTGCAAGAATAGATTAAATTTAATCATATGCTTTGGGAAGATTTCCCTTCCCATGTCACTGTATTTTTTTTTGTTTTTTTGTTTTTTAAATATTGCCAGGTCTCCTGGACAAGGACAGTCTCCTACCATGTGTCTATACAGTGCCTGCCACAATGGAGCTCTGATCTTGTTTGCAACTTTTATGTACCAGTGTAATAAAAGTGCATGATTACACCTCTAGAAAGTCTATAGTTTTCTATAATCAAATCCATTCATAGCACATACGAATATATTTCATGCAGAGGGGTTTTAATTTGGGGGGGGAGGGAGAGAAGAGGGGCAGTGGTGACGGGATAGGAAGAGAGGAAATGCTCTCCAGCTCTGTATGTCAGTTCCTCTCATCTCCTTCCTTCATTCCTATGCCGAGGTTCTAAAATGAGCAAAGTATCTTCAACTTTAGTCCTGTAGAATTCTCTTTCAAAATGACTCCCCTCAGACTAGACCAGACCCAAGGCAAGCTCCCCAGCTAGCCCCATATGCTGTGCAGAAATGCAGCTGCAGGGCTCAGTTTCTGTTCTAAAAATGGAGGGAAGGGGGGAAGTTTTAGGAGTTGTCCCACCTCCTAGCACATTCCCATTGGCCAGTTTCTGGCAGAAACCAGCCAATGGAAGCTGCTTGTTGGAGTAACAGGTAGCTAAGAAGAATCACTCCCCCTCTCCTGGGCTCAGTTATTCATGAAGCACATGGTCAGGCAGGCAGGTTGGGAAACATTTTAACCTCTGCATGCAGGCAAGTTCAGCAGCTAACAAATCTCTTGTCCACAGCCTGCTTCTGGCACCCCAGCCCTTTCCTGCCCCAACTCTCAGTCCCCCCCACTCAACATACCCAGACCCCCCTCTCAGATCTGGCATGCCAATCATAATCCCCTCCTACCTCAAGTCACATCCCAACCGCCTGCTTCATCCCAACTCCCTCCCAGACTCCAGGCTCTCTCCTGCCCCCCCAATCCCTTACCCCAAGCTCCCTTCTGCACCCAACCCCCATCCCAGACACCACATCTCCTCCATTAATATCATGGAAGAGTGCGGCGCTCAACCTCTCAACAAAATTTTCCTGAAGCCAGCCAAATTAGTACTTTAATATTGAGCCCAAGTAATCCTCTTTACGGCAGTTTCTCCCACTCAGCCTCCCAGTATTTATTACAAAACAGAAACACAGGCAATTGTGATTGCACCTACTAAACTTAATAAGAAGGCAGTACAACATATGCATATTGCTACTGGATCAAAAATAAATGTAATCCTTAAATCTGAACTTATTTCTCCCCTTGTCACCTCAACATTGAAAATGGATGATGAAATGGATGTTTCATGTCTAGTTTGAACAAAAGAATAAAAATCTAAGTAAATTAATTTTTCTTCATATAAGATACAAATAAGGCTGGTACAACTAGCACCACAAAGGACATTTAAAAGAACCTCTTCATATTTAATGGAACACTATTTACTATGTAGTAAGTAAAAATTAAAAACCTCACTTACCTCAGCATTATAGAACTTAGTTTTCACATCTAGTGGTTTGAGAACCTGATTGAAAAAAAAGAATACAGATTAAATTAAAAAAAAAAAAAAACCCTTGAAAAACGAGTACTCCTGTAGCACCTTGGAGACTAACAAAAAAATGTCTCTGCCATTATTAAAAAGATACCGACTTAAACTGTTATTATTTAAATTCTTAAATATTGAGATATCTACTCAAATCATAAAAGCACTTTTCTTTCTGATTTGCAGGAAAACAACATATGTTAATGTAATGTGTAAGAGCTAGCTCCCGGGAGTCTTTCAGTTAAGAAGTGCAGCACTACGACTGTGCACAATTGCTTCATCTTAGCTATATACTTCTCTGCTTTGCTAAATGCATGAATAGTTTGACAAGATGTTGGCAAATACTTTCATATAAGTCCTCTTACACTAGGAGAAAAATCTTGTTCACACAGTTCATCAGTCTCTTTAAAATAATGATACATTCCTTCACTATTCAAAAAGGTTTGTTGTTTTGAAGAAGGAACAAAAACATTAAAGATCTGCACCAAATTTTCCACAGAGTTTTACAGCAAATGCATATTTTCTAGACAGAGGCTCAAAATGCTAACTATAAACAAAGCGATGAAATACCAGCTGTATGCAATTAACTAACTTCTGACTCACTTTTAATTTAAACATACATCCGTTACACCTGCAGTGGTAAATATTAAAGATAAGGTAACTAGCATTTTAATCACATCTGATTAGCCATTATATACACAATCAGAAGACACACTCCTCAAAGAAAAAAAAGATACAAATTAATGATGCTGAAATCCATAAACATTACATTATGTGAATTTATCATCAAGCCACACAGTTTGCTTGTGAAGTTGTATTTCCTAAGTTATATTTCACATCAGTTTATAAATTCAAGCTTAGAGTTTATATTTGCTCTCCAATCGAGGCCAAAGAGAGCAAGGAAGAGATTTACTTCTTTTGAGCAGAATTTTGAACATTTTGTATTATATAAAATGTTTGACACAATACACCTCCCAATTAAATCAGCTACAAATCTTGAATTTGTTCAGAAAATGGTCATGGACTTATACATAATGGTGTTGGCAAAGTATTAACTGGTTTGAAATGATTCTCTTTTTCAAAAATATTACTCAATTACCCCAGGACTATCATCTCTCTCAGTACCCATAAAATCTTCCACTATGGGGGATAGCAGTATCTTACTATTTTTATTTTTCTTACCATTTTACTTATTCAGTTTTCAGAACAGAGAGTGGTGACCACCAAGAGTCCATACTGTGACCAATCCTATTTAACCTATTTATAAATTATTTAGAGCAGTGGTTCCCAAACTTTTCTGCATCTCGCGCCCCACCCCAATAGCAGCAACACTTGTTGAGGGGGGGGGGGGGGAGAAGAGGGAAGGGGAAAAAAAAGGAACTGACCAGGGCTGAAAACCAAAAATAGCAGCAAAACTTGGGCAGGGGGTGGAGGGGGGATTGACCCGGGAGAAGCGGGGAGGATGGGGGCTAGGTAGCCTCCCCACATCCGGAATTTCTTAACGCCCCCAGGGCCCTCTCTCCAGTTTGGGAACCCATGACCTAGAGAAAGGAGTAAACAGGTGGCAAAATTTGCAGAGGATACTAAACTGCTCAAGATAGTTAAGAATGAAGCAGACTAAAGAGCTTCAAAATGACCTCACAAAACCAGGTGATTGGGCAACAAAATGTCAAATTAATTTTAATGTTGATAAACGCATATTGGAAAAATAATCCCGACTATACATGTAAAATGATGGGGACTAATTTAGCTATCACTCAAAGATATATCTTGTAGTCATTGTGGATAGTTCTCTGAAAGTATTGTCCTGCATGTTTATTGCCCTGCATTTGTTAAGTGTCTTATTAGCAAGTTCTACAACACTATTTACCAGCTCTAAAGACATAGAACTGTCATTATAACAAAATAAGTCTATTATTAATAAAAAAAACCAACCAAACAAGCTAATATATATTTTTAGTTTGCAAATGTTCAAGTAAACAGATAGCACCTAAAGCTACAAACATGGCATATTCTTATACACAATACCTGGAATTTGAAGAACTTTCTGAAGTACATCTTCTCTCCTGTCTGTGTTGTATAACTTACTGCACATACTAATCTGAAAAAGATAGGCACTTAAGTAGTTCTGAACAATTTTAAATCCTTTGTTTCTATTTAAGAAGAACCAGAACAATGCATGCAATGATTCCATGTAAACTTTACCATACTTGCTATTGTTAAAAATAGAGGTAATTTAGATTTCAGTCAGTGACATACTAGCCTTATATTTCATGGATATGTGTAAGAAAATGCATAACTCAGGAGGAGATGTAAAACCTTACATATGTGTTCCTATTTCCTTCACTTCGTGGTGAATAACATCATCAATGCAACAGTCAGATTTAAGTTCTGCCACTGCAGCACTGGAAGCTGAAAGGTTTAACCGCTGAGAGCTTGTCTGGAGGTCAGCCTGGGAATTGAAAAAGAACAGGTTAAACTGCTTTCAAGTCATGGGTGTCTAAAGACCAAAGCATAAACCACACAGCTTGTGAAGCACTACATTTGATTCAAATAATTGACGGATACCATGAAAGGTAGATGACCAGAAATGCATATACTTAAAAAAAAAATTGTGTGTTTACAGATACAAGCACATATTATATTTTTTTAAATTAAATGGAATGCAGAAGATAACTCATATTTGCAGTAGGGATGTTAAAAAGTGGGGGGGTTTGTAAACATGTAACCACTGAAAATTTCAACAGTTACACATTTACATACAGGGGAGGGAGGAGTGCTCTATGGGAGTCAGTGCGCATGGGAATCCCACTTAACTGGCCCCTCTCTCCCCACTCCCACGCTGCTGTCTCAGTATCAGAGGCGGCAACAGCAGCGCAGGGGGACAAGAGCTGGTGCTCGTTGGGAACTGGCTTTTGTGCAAGCTCCCCACAAGCACTGACTTCTGTGAAGCTTCCTCCCCCTCTCCCCCCGACATCCCTGTAACTATCTGAACCAGTGCTCGCAGGGAAACTGCTTAAAACTAGCTCCCCACAAGCACCTACTCCTGCCTCCCCATCCCTGCACTGTTGCCTCTGACATGAAGGCAGCAGCACAGGAGAGGGGGGAGGGCGGGACAGCACTTGCATGTAACTGTGAACGTTAACCAATGAACCCATGGCTCATCAGTTAACCCAGGGGTTCTCAAACTTTCTGATACCGTAACCCCTCCCCCCCACACCAAGTTGCTCATGATCCCCTCTAAGTTGCTCGCCACCTCCCTGGGTGTCAGGCCCCACAATTTGAGAAATGCAGAGTTAACCATTTAAGCTATCACATCCCTAATTTGCAGCAACATTAATGCGTGAGAATGAACCGTGGAGCCTGCAATTTTGCATAGCAGATACTGGATTATGGGTAACTTATTCAAGCCCTCGTGAATAAATCCTATGTTATATATTTGACCTGTTTGATAGTTTGTCTAATAAGTGCTCTATTGAAAAGGGACCACAAATGTTAAGGAGCAAGAGAAGAATACTAAGTTACCATTTTTATATATGGCCTGGTTTTTGCTTTGCAGCTTAATTAGATCTTTGATATGAGTAATGTTATGGTACAGGAGGTTCCCTCTCCCGCCCCCTTAAATATACTGCCACTGATTTCATAGAGTTCCAGATGTAGAGGGCTTCCTGATTCCAGATTTTAGCCTATTTTTGTTCAGTATGACACCAGTTATTACTTGAAGTTATACTCGCTTAAAGTGGATTTTCCACTTGACATATAGATTTACGGATTGCAAGGCCAGAAGAAACCATTGTGAACATCTAATCTGATCTCTGATGTAGCACAGGCTACAGAACTTCTCCAAAGTAGTTTCCAGATGATGTCCTCTACAGTGAGAGAGATTCAATTTTGATTAAAAAGAATAGCTAGTAATGAATGGACAACCAGCACAACCTTTGCTAAGAGTGTATTGTTGCCCCCTCTGACCAGAGCAGCTGGTCAAATATTGAGACTCTAGTATGCTGCTTTAATTAGGAAGATAAATTGGTGACAAGTCAAGTATTTCTTTGATGCAGTTTTCTTTATTAACAAAGAACTTACAAAGTCATGGTCTATGAATCCAGAACCAATTTAATAGAAGTAAACAGTTGCTTTTGCTCAAACCACCAGAGCACTCTTCAAAACCCCACCCAAACCCTAAAGCCTCTTCCAAGTCTCTTCAAGGGTCTGTGCTAGTGCTCCAGACAGTTGTATTCCCCTCTTGTCTTTTGTCTGTTCTGCCCCCTAGCCTCCCACACCTCTGAAAATACTCAGCAAAAACTCTGTGGTGGATTCACTTACTCTTGTCTCTGGCAGGAGCTTATGTTTACAGACTTGTAAACTGAAGTGTGAGTTCACACCTATCAATTTCAATGGAGGTTTTAATTCGACCTACAATAAGGTTTCATCCAGCTAATTATTGCACACATTAAGATTAAAGACATGTATCTTAATAATTTTGAACCATTTTCAAGCTTTGAAGAAACAGAATAATGCAATATTTCCATTTCAGGTTTACCATACTTGCTATGGTGGCAAATACAGGAGATCCCCAGGATTCGCAGAATTGCTATTTGCAGTTCTGAGTATTCGCAAAAATCTCCTGTCCTGACTTTAGTGGTGGGGACACCAGGGGCTGGGAGTCATGCTTCCCAACTCCTGGTTCCTTGTAGCTGCCAGGAGCCGCAGGGAGCTCACCCCCGCTCCTGGCAGCTGTGATGAGTTCCCGGCCTCCATGATGAATTCCTCCCAGCTCCCTGGCTCTGCGGTGAGTTCAGGAGTTGTGGGGAGCGCACTACAGGCCAAGAACCACTGCTCCCAGTATTTGCAAATTTTGCCATTTGCAGTGGTGCTACAAATACATCAACTGTGAATGGTGAGAGTTTCTTGTACAGACAGTTTAGATTTCAGTCAGTGGCATACCAGCTTCTTGCTATGTAAATAATTTCAGAGTTTATTGGTATCAGAGGGGTGGCCATGTTTGTCTGAAACTGCATCAACAACTAAAAGTCCTGTGGCACTATATAGACCAACAGACTTATTGGAGCATAAGCTTTCGTGGGCAAAGACCCACTTCATCAGATGCATGTGAAACTGGTCTTTGCCCACGAAAGCTTATGCTCCAATAAATCTGTTGTCCTGTGGTGCCTTATAGACTTCCCTATTGTTTATTCAGAGTTTTTGTACGCTTTCATTGGCACAGTCTTTGAAGATCACTTTGAAGTTAGAGCTAGTGTAGAATACAATTCCTGCTTATGTTAGTTGTAAAAATCATGCTACACAAATTTTCTTCCTATTTGCTTCTGGATGCAATCCTAACTATTGATTTTGTCTTATGATTTCATTCCAGATACTGAGGATTATTTTCTGTACTTAGAAACTTTTTAATGGTTATTTCTTAATACATGCTGTGTTGTATTATATGTTAAGAATGCACCAGATACTTTGATTTGACACTTTTTGAAAGATTTATAAGAGAGATATTTTCACGTACCTTTACCAATATGTCCTTGACAACCTGGTTACTGTCATTATGTACGCTAATGTAACTGGAAAAAGTCTCCCCCAGAAATATATTTCTGTTCAAAGAAAACAGGATTTTTTTTAACCAAGTGATTCTCAACAAGGCAACCAATTGAAATCAGAGACCATCTTTAATTAGTGTAATAATGTATTTCAAATTCTACAGTGATCTTGTCTTGACCAGTTCAGTTCCATCAGTGCTAGCAATATAAAGAGTCTGATCACAATTTTTAAAATGCCAGTGGCACATCTGTCTTACCTAACCATGGTCAGAGCATGTCTCATTGACATTTTGTTGTAATTACTGGCAACAACCCCTCTCTAACCCTAAGAATCCCCCAACGTTAGCACTAGCAGAGATGAATCAGATGCAGTAATAGTGGAAAGTCTTCAAGTATCTATTGCAATTGAAGCCAGTGGGAGGGAACATGTGAATAGTTACTCAGATGTGTAAGTATCTGGAAAATCACGCCTTAAGAGAAATAGCAATTTCCTATTCTACACAATATTATTTTAAATGTTAACAATCAGAAAAAGTAAAAAAAGTGATCAAGTGAGATTCCTACTTGAAAGTAACAATCTCAGAGATAGCTGTTAAACTATCAATCCTGCAATGAGATATACAGAAGTGGGGCCTTAAAATTCTAAATGTGTGCGCTGCACCAGTGTAAAAGTGAGGCTTATGCCCGTGAAACTTAATATACAGGCAGTCCCCGGGTTACGTACAAGATAGGGACTGTAGGTTTGTTCTTAAGTTGAATCTGTATGTAAGTCGGAACTGGCGTCCAGATTCAGCCGCTGCTGAAACTGATCAGCAGCTGATTCCAGGAAGCCCGGGGCAGGGGCTTCCTGTAGTCAGCCAC